TACTGAGAAAATTATTTGTAGGTTGGGGCAAGGAGGTATAAAAATAAGGTATAAGGTATAATAATATATTTTTATACCTCCTTGGTTGGGGTCTACACTGTGGTGGTAGTGGTAACTTTTTCTAGGCGATTACTGTACTGTATACTACGCCTCCCGTAAACCCCCACTTACCCAATTGACAATACCAGTACACCACAATTATTTAAAGTTTATTCAAAATATTGATTGGTAGAGTAGCCTGGATAGTAGTGCCAGTTCACTACATCACCTATTCAAGTTTGTTTAGTATAAACACACGATGAGTCATCCACTAAAATGGTGTTCTATTGTATTTCTGTCTGCCCAGTTTTTGAAAGAGATTTTTGTGATGGAATGTGTAAACGTTTTACCCCTTAAGAGTTCCAAAGAGCATGCTGATATTTGATTGATTTGCTAAGAAAGTATGTCGCCTTTCTTTTTCATTATTTGAGTACCTTCTTGTTGATAAATCAATAACATTTTGAAATTCATTGCATGGAAAGTGGTATAAAGGTTAATGATTTATGTTAAGTTCAACCTATAAGGAAAGAAATTGGAAAAAAAACACTGTCAATATTTTTAAAATGCAAAAGTGCTATTTTGTAAGCAATTGCAGCCTGTATATTCTTATAAAATGTGTTCTTATATAAAAAAGTGTATACAGAGTGTGATGATCGATATTAATTGATGAATACTGTGTAAATTTTTATCATTTCTATCTTTAATTATATAACTGATTACTTACAGTGCTGTAGCCAAGATTTTCAAACAGTGCGGGACTATATCAGGGTGGACCAACTTTACGCATAATTCAAATAATGTGGACTAATTTTCTTAAAAGTTGACCCATTTTACGGAAAAATATGAAAAATCTGGATCCATTTCCTTAAAATTTTACCCATTTTAGGCTAAATATGAGAAATCTGGACCCATTTTTCAAAAAGTGGACACATTTTATGTATGAAATTGCATAAATTGGACGCATTTTTCAAAATGTGGACCCCATTCTTTGTGGACCCATTAGAAAAAAATGTGTGGGACTGTCCCAACTGTCCCAATAGATGGCTACGACATTGATTAACTTAATAACTCAGATTGAGCATGTAACGCCATGAATTTTTAGTTTATAAACAATAAGAGAATTAAAATATCTAAATCTGCAACTTTATAATGCGGTCATGTTTTTTTTTTTAGAATTCTTTTGTTTGTGCTAAATATGTTGTTGGAATTCCTTATTTTTATAAGGCCACCTTTTGCATCACCTTTCATATAGTGGCTCCCTGGATTGGCATACTTGTCAAGATAAATTAGTTAATTTTTAGGTTCAACTCTCAGTTAATGTAAACAAACTTGACAGCTCACTTATGCAGTTGCAATTTATTTACTTTTTACTGTCTGTTTGGCAAAATTCCAATTTACCATTAAAATTCCTTAGGTGAGTCACTGTGTTTTTTTTGTGGGGGTTTAGGATTAGTAGACAGTATTTTTTCATTGACTTCAAATAAGCTGGTATTCATTTCTGTAAAACTTGTACAAATAATTTAAAGTAGACAAGGGGAGGATAGGAGGGGAAGGAAATAAACATTCTAACCTCTGGATGGTCGAAAGAGAGACACGTTGATATGCAAAGCGGGTTAATACGATTAAAATCTATTACTCATATATTTAGAAAGTGGGTGGTGGGGGGAGTCTTGGGGTGTAGGTGGAAAAATTTGATTTATTATACTGTAGCATTTGAGGCATAGACTTCACTGATAAATGTATAGTTTTGCCAGAATCAGTCACATAATGATCCTGATAAATTTTGCAAATGATATTAGCAAAACTAATTTCAAACCATGTTTTTCTTTTTCTTTTTTTTTTTAACCAAACAGTTTGTAAAACACCAAATAATTTTGTTTTTGATTTTTTTTTTCTGGAGGAAGTCTTGCATTTTACCCATTTTGATTATTGCTGTAGCTAGCAAGTAACTTGTTACCCACTTGTTGCCCAAAATTAAAATAAATAAATTAATGAAAAATAAAAAAAATATTGATCTATATGTGTACAGTAGTCTTGGATTTTTCAATCAATTCAGAGAATTCACAATGTCAATACTTGGCCTCTTTGCCAAAAATGTAATTATCTTGTAATAATTGTTTGTCTGTTAAAGGTCATATAAATTAATTACCCATACATAGGATAAGTGCAATGAATCAAAATTCTACAGCACTGATGGTGAACGGAGAAAGAAGAAATGAATTAAGTTTGACTAAACAGTGTACACCAAGAGTGCAACCACCTGAGGGATTATCAGTGTGTGTGTGTGAGTCACTCACAGGCTGTGTAACACCTTTTTAACACCTGACAGAGTCATTCCAACTCACTAAGCAGCTATTGAACACTGATAATATGATCTCATACTCAGGCTAGCCCTGGTTTGTTATGGTGTTTTGTCATTGACGATGAGCTCATGTGGTTGCTATGTGAGTCATCATGAAGTCTATGTAGTGGAATAGAATGGTTAAATACCAATAGAGCATAGAGCGTAATAACAAGTAATCTTGCTGGTATTGTAAACAGACTTTCATCGGTACCAGGAATTGCTTTGTGTTATAAAAATATATGGACGGGATTGACAGGAGTTATTTTGGTTGTTTTGATGCAAATAAAAGATCTAGATTAGGAATGTTGACAGCTACAAAAATAGGCACAGTACCAAGTTCATATACTGGTATATATATAATATTTTATGTATATATTTTATGTTTAGTACTGTATATGTGAGTTGGTATTATGACCACTGCTGTAGTAAATATTTATATAGGTCTATTATATAAATATACCCGTAAAAATTTGTTATACAATATCTTAGTAGTATCACTCAGACTGAAAATATAATTGGAGACAAACACAGTAAATGGATCCAGAAATTTGAAATAGAGTTTGCTAGAGGGATAGGCTTTTGTAGCTCGAGGGTCCAGGCAAAATTTATAGCTATGGCACCGCTAATGTAATAATTCATTCAGAACATTTTTTTTTTTTATCAGTGGCAGCATTTCTAGCTAAAAAGTGTGGTCAAATTACCTGGTAGGCCTACACTACATAGCGAAAAAATTACAATATTTTCCTATGTCTAAAATTAAAGGATAGACTACATTAGATGGCTGAAAATGGCACTCGCAGAGTGAAATTTAAATGGAATATGACCCTTGAGTTTGCCTCTGATGCAACAAGTATTGTGAAACACATGCTATGAAAACAAAATATGATTTTGGGGTGTTGGAAGTACTATCTTGAGATACTGGTGCCAATATGAGGAGGCAATGGTGGTGGTACCTTTGCTTTTAGTTTCTTTTTTCTTTTTTAATTTCTCTATTTTATATTTTATGGTTTATTATAGTTATGATGTTGCAGTTATATAAAGATATGTAGAAATATGGACTGAGACAGTTGATAAAGTGTGTGCTTGAGTCTACAAATCTACAGCCATGATATCATTTTCCAGTAAAACTATAAATAAGTATTAATATGCACTTTTTGTAATTGTTTTGGATTAACAAGAATCTAGTTTTTGAATGAATGTACGCCTGCTTGTCTTGTAATTTTTTTTTAAAGTTTTGTAGCAGCACTCAGTCACTTGAATATAAAAGAGATTGTGTAGATAGAACAGACATAAAAATGGGAACTAACAATAGTAGCAACCCATTATGAAATGGTAAATTAAAATAGAATGTCAGACAATAGCAATATAAAAAGTAGTTTTAACTGTGGGAAGGTATGCAGAATTAAAAAAAAAAAATGCCTGTAGTGTTGTGAGAGAGGAATTCCTCTTATTATTTACAGGATTAGCAGGTAGAAAGGAGAGTAATAAAATGAGGGATGTACATTACCATTGAAATAAGTAATATAATAATACATTGCAAACCACATCCTGTTCACGTCAAAGAACTATTTAAATAGAAAACAATATCTATTGTTCAAATATCCTATTGAATGAACACAGCCACTTAAAAATTATACTACTTTGTACTGTACTTGATTGTATAATGACGTTGCCTATTTGATAAGTATTATACAATACGCTGCTTTTATATACCCATTCCATATCACGTATACATCATTTTTGTGGCAAATACATTTTATCAAGGATCTTTGCACATACTGTAATCGAGACCAAAAATTGTTTTTGATGGTACACATTTACAATAGTGGCACTCAAAATATGGTCAATAAAATGAAAACACAGATAATCAGCATAAAGTCCTGTCCTTGGACTATCAAATTTCATTTCACAAAAACATGTGACATACATAAATATATATATATATATATAGGCACATCATGACTATATATGGGCATACAACAGTATCTTTAAAGAAAATTTCATAGTGAGCTTAACATACAGTACTATACACAACAAGATACAAGATACAAGAAACTTTTATTGTCACTTATTGAAAAAATTCACAAGTAATAAACTAATGTCAAGCTCTGATGTGATGTCATGTGAAGTCAAGCACTGATCAAAATTAAATTCATTCTTTTCTTTGTATTTTCCTTTTAATTTCTGTTCATTTGATTTTTATTTCTGTTTTTGATTTTCTGTTTAATATAATATTTTTTTTTTTTGGTTTATTTATGTGAACCCAGTGCTGTGTTACTGAAAGTGCTATAAGTTTAAAAAGAAAGAATAAATACATTAATAAATAAATACATATACACTGATGTAATGTCAATATATAATTTAAACATTATGGAAAACTCAATCACAAATCCCAGTCTGCACATTAGCGAATCACCTCCTTTAAGTCCCGAGGCCCACCTATAATTACCTGACCTCAACAAAATTTTTAAGGCAATAAATGCAACAAAGAAAAAACATAATGTAGGCCTACTTATAAAATACTATTTTACTATACATATTTCCCCTGTCTTGCTTAATTGTTATGAATGGTATCGTTTGTTTGGGATTTTGATCTTGAATTTCTGTCTCTCTGCAGGAATTGTGTTTCAGTTTAGTATTCAACCTGTTGAAGTAAAGCCCGAGGAGAACAATTGAAGGCATTCATTGCAGCCTAGCCTGATACCAGGTGGTCAGAGAATCATTAAACTGTCTGGGTAAGTGTTGAAATTGAGCCAAGTTAGTGAGTCATCCAGGCCTAAATATTCTGGGATACTTTCACACAATAATCACCTATTTCAGGATATGACAGATAATTATCATTGTGATAGTATTTGTTATTTGCTTTAGAAGTCGTGAGGTGCGAGGGTTACAGTATTTCTCAAGACACATGTGGCAGTTGACATCACATGACTTTTAATTCATGTGATCTGACGTTCAGCGGGTATCCGAGAAATACATCACATGGAAAATTTTCCATTTTTGCGTATTCAACTCAAGTAAATGATGAAATTTAACGTAAAGTAGCGTTAATGATCTGAATTTAACACTTTATTACATGATATGAAAGACTGAAACACATTAGGCTTAAAAAATTCAATTAAAATAATCACCATTAAATAACATTGTTGAAACAGATATTAATAGACGTTATTAAAAGTGTCTTTTAGTTAAACTTTTTATTAAGGAACAAAATAGGAAAAGTTTATTGATTTATCATATAATACATCATGAAAGTTATACAAGCTATGTTTATTAAATATAATAATAATTAAAATTATAATAAAGAAAAATAATACTAATTGACAAAATAACAACCATCAATAGATTCAACTGCAATTTCCGAGTTCAACATTAGTAATAATAATAATAATAATAAATAATAATAATAATAATAATAATTTCTCTAAATCGGACTTAAGAAGAATATCTTTTTCATGTTATTTTCCCCTTAACACCGTTTTTTTAATTGCTCTATAATATTTCCATTGTCTAATTTCCCCTTAAATTAGGTTTTAGTAACATAATAATAATAATAATAATAATATAGAAATTTATACCACGCCTATTTCCAAGGGATGCAAGGCACTGGCGATGTTATTATTACTCCTGGTCATCGGATCCGTAATCAAACAGCAGAGTGCAACCTCCCCCAATCCCTGGGGAGTATTCCTAGTCATGCGTACAATTTAATACCGATACAGACTAATACTTGCAATGCTACATCATCCTACCAGGTACCCCATTTATACTCCTGAATGGAGAGAGGCAAAAGTATTAGGTGCCTTGCCCAAGGACACAACCAATGCGACGGGCGTTGTTCTCAAACTCTAAATTTCACGATCAGAAGTCCAACACCCTACACACTGCGCCACAAGCTCCACGTGCTGTATTTATTTTTTGGCCGTTGGCAATGTTAAGGTTGATCAGAGCCAGGGGTATGTTAATATGAATAATCTTATTGTTGATGATACATTCGAGGGTCAGTATTAAAATCATTAGTAATGAAATCAGGAGCTAATGTGGTGGGTGGGGAGAGTCTCAGAAATTGGAAAAGTGTTGATAAGATTTTAACCCAGGCCTCCTACTTGAGTTTTTTTTTTTGGCAAGTTTTCGGTGGAAGAGGCACCTGGGGAGGCATTTCAGCTTCCACCTTTTGAATTAAATATATAAAACTTAAATCGGATCAATGCATTCCAATGTCACTCATCCTTCCATAGGCAATAATGATAGAGTAAGGTCTGTTTGATATATAGACCTTGTTACTGCCTGTGAATCCGTGAAATGCGGCAGGTATGAAACCCTAGCCAAGGCCTTCCTTCCTGTTTTCACAACACGCCAACAACAATTACATTGTATTGGGCCTATTTGTAAAACAATATGTGATTGTTGACTAAAGGAAAACAAGGGGAGGCCTGAGAATCTTATCTAATAGATCAGGAAGTCCAACACTCTCGGAACAAAGTGTACCTTGAGCGTCTCAATTGATGTCAAACATACCTGGAATCATCAGAATAGAATTGTAGTACTGTTGCTGCTACTTGAAGATCAGCTTCAACACTATCACTAAGCGCAAGGTCATCGGTATAGTGGTTAAGGCATCAGGCTATTTATGTCGAGGTCATGGGTTCGATTCCGACCTGATTCACTTGCAAAATTGTTTTAGCAAGTAACTGGAAATTTACTCTATAACTATATTAAACCTATATTATTATATTATTATTCAACCCTGGCCATCAAGCTCAAGCTCGGTGGTCTAGAGTTATGATGCCTGGCTAGTGATCTGGAGATTGTGGGTTCAAGTCCCACCCGAGAACAACTTGCAATTTTTTTCGCAGTTGTTTTCAAATGTACCAAGTATTCGGTACATTTTCACGTCAGGTAGGGCAAAATTACACCTATATATTATTATTATTATTATTATTATTATTGTTATTATCATTGTTATTATCATTGTTAATATTATTATAATTATTATTATTATTTATTATCATTATTATTAGTGAGCATTCAGTATGCAAATTTGAAAAGTGTATTTCTAAATACTAGGCCAAAAAAGAAATCTTTAATATTTGAAACAATCATTATCAGCAGATGGCATGTTTCCTAAAACATGGTAAAAACTTTGGCCATTAAACAAGCATCACAAAGATTATTTGCTGATTTAAATTATAAAAAACATGAGAGTCTGAAACATTGAACTGAACCTAAGGAAGTTAAAATTGATATTTGTATGCACTGTATACAGTAATCCTAAATTATTGTTTCATTTATTTTTTGCACATGGAGTAGGATGAATATTATTATCAACAATAATATTTGGCATTTGTAAAACAACACTAAATAATGAAAGACCAATAGACTACTGAACTGGAAACTAAGAAACGAAAACAATTCAGGTTCAAAGATTAAAATAAGATTATAATGGAAAATATTGAAATCTTACAAGACTCTTTTTTTTTTAAATAACAACATCCGGTTTTTAAAAAAAATACAAATTTACTAGAGCACAAATCTATTGATCATTGTATTAATATACGTGGCTGAATTAATAAAATTTTGTCATCGGAAATGTCTTTGTTAACCAAATTTTTGTAATCTTTTATTGGTCATCCAACCACAACGTGCCGCATCACCAAAGGTAATGTGGATTTTCCAAGTTCAATAAAAGATATTGCACTATATTATTAAATCCTCTATGTACTTCAGGACAAACTGTAAGTAATAATAATAATTATTATTCTAGTAGCAATTACGCCAAGGTCGACCGTATGTACTTCAAAATTAATATCCTGGTCATTGACTTTAAATACCTATTCAACATGTTTTTGGCTCCCTTTGTGAAATTATTATTATATAATACAGCAAGTGTTTAGCTATTAGCTTTTGTAAGTTCCCAGACAACCATACTTAAGCCCAGATTATCAAATTCAAAAAACTATTATATGCCCATTTATAGTAATGATGTGCCTATATAAGGCCCCATAAAAAAAAAATTATTAGTTTATCACCCTATCAAAGAATAAAAACTGATGAGGGAGGGAGGTGTTTTTTTTTTTGCTAACCCCGCCCCCATTTTACCGATGTTCGCAAATAAGTCAATGGTTTAGGACAAATTTATAAAAAGTCATAAAAAATGGAATCAAATTTATATTAAAAAGGATGTTTTTGCTGTACCAGTAAACATATTTGCAAGAAATCCTGATGTTTCAAGTGAAAAAAGATGGAAAACAACTTTTTGAGATAAATATATATGTTGATTGAAAAAAAAAAAAAAATAATCAGAATTTTTCCAAAAGTGATGAGGGAGGGGGTGATAAACTAATAATTTTTTTAACGGGGCCCAATGTCATGATGTGATGTCATCATGACCAAATTTAGGCATTTGATTATAGTACTTTGCATAACAATAAACAAGGATCAGCATCAGATTCGAACCACAGATTTTTTTAATTTGAAACCAGCTGATTTACTTCTGCGTCACATGATTATTTCTATAGTGCGTTCCACAATAATCATAATCAATTTTTAAAAAGAAAATTAATAAAAAGGAACTAATTATTAAAAATCTTAAAATGATATAGCCAAAAAAAACCATAACCAGACATCATGACACCGTTAGTGTTTGCATTTATTTCACAAGTGCTAAAATGAAGTGGCATCTACTGATTGCTAATCAAATTAAGTAATAAATATTGAAAAAATAAACAACTGTTAACAATTAATGACTGATTTATAAATTGTAAGTGTACTTTTCAATTACTAATATATAGTGAAAAGTATTATCAAATAGACAAGAGATATTATTAAACAGTCAAATATAATTAAGTTTGCATTATAAATTAAGTGGAATTTGTGGCAATGTGATTCTAAATAAGCTTGGAAGGGAAAATTAAGGGAAAATCAAGAGTAAGAAAATGTGGTTAGACAAAAGGTTTGGCTTGTAATAATGAGCTGTGTCCAACAGAGATCTTAATCCAATGGGGAAAACTTCTCCCTGATTCCTCCTCCCCCCCCCCCCCTTCCCCGCCCCCCCCCCCCCTTACCCGCACAGCCACTTTCAATATACAATTTCTACTATTTTATGGGACATACTTTAACATAGGTTAAAGTATCTTGCCAAAAGGGCAGGGGATGTGGCAAGTGTTGGACTCAAATGTACACACAGTTACAAATGAAAATGTTTGCTGGTTGCTTCGCCACATCCTTTCGCTGTACGTAGAGGGGACCCAAATCTCACACAAAATACTGGATATTCTCCAGAAATTGGCACAATTTTCCACATATTTGTGAACAAACAAAAATGTCTCTTTCAATTTAACCATAACAAATCTCCTGCAAAACTAATCAACAAACTAACATGTTTTAATTGTCTATCCCCGTAGTCAGCTGGTCATGTGTTTCATCGTATCATCGCTTGCAGGTGAATACAACAAGGTGTGTTAAAAACACTCATAATATGAAACTAGATCTTCCAGAATTGCCTTATTGACTTGATATTTTGACATGATTGACACAGAATGTAACTATTTTTAATGTTGAATCGTGATACTGTACATGTTTTTATGTTGTGTTTTTTTATTTTTTATTTTATTTGTGAACATAAATCAGAGAAGATTTTTATGTTTGTTGTGCTCATATTTTACAATCCCATAAAAAAGTAGAAATTGTATATTAAAAATTGGCTGTGCGAGCAACAGTGGGGTTGGGAGGTGGA